GCCTGCTTTTCTTTTTGGATTTGCTTCCATAGCCTTTGTCCAACCAAGAACAAACTACAAGGCAGCAGTTGTTTATTTTTGGAGTTGTCTCTCCTAGAAGAGTGGCTGTCCCCAGCTAACGAGCCTCATCTGCCCGAAGGTTCGAACTCGAGACTTTTCGGTTTAGCAACCATGAGCTTTACCGACTCGACCACGCCGACCCTCTATAAATAGGTTGATCTCCTCGTATTTACGGAGAAATTGTTAGAAACTATTCGCGTTATATATATATATATATATATATATATATATATATATATATATATATATATATATATATATATATATATATATATATATATATATCAGAGGCGTATCGAGGGGGGCGGGGTGACACCATTTAGGGGTTGACACCAAGGCAAAAAATAGTAAAAATATATAGAGAAAAAATTGAGGGGGGGGGGGGGTGACACCATTAAGTGCCGCACCGGGTGACACCCGACCTCGCTACGCCACTGATATATATATATATATATATATATATATATATATATATATATATATATATATATATATATATATATATATATATATATATATATATATATATGTTACGGTCAAAGCCCGAAGTCGGCCAATGCTAGGATTGGCCGGCCAATCCGCGCATTGGCCAATATCGCCTCCCATAGGTCGGTCAGAGTCCGAAACTTTGCTTGATTTCGGCCTTTGGCCGGCCAATCCGCGGACTGGCCATGGTGGACCGGCCAAAGTCTTAATTAGAAGATCATCTGGCTAGGGACGACCGGCCAAAGTCCGAATTAGAAAATCATGAGCAGATTTTTTTTTTGCCGTAAGGATCATGAATATAAGTCTTTATTGATTATTAATTAAAGTAAATGACAGAAACATTCAAATTTTTTATTGTACTATAGTCTCAATCTAGCAATATCATCACTTGTTACAACAAGTTGAACTTTTATGGCATTTAGAATTACATAGCAGCTTGTTATTTTTACACTTGCAGCGATTTGTTGTGCACTTAGTTGTGCAATTGCAGCGAGTGTAGCCTTGGCCCCCAGTCAATGATTGTGAAGATGCGATGGTTCGTACTGATTTTTCCTCAGTGCCAACTGACGACAATAAGAGCAGTTTTTCGTGAAGAATTGAAAACTCACTTCTAGCATACAGTTGTTTTAGAACACCATGTTCCGTTACTAATTTGTAGAAACCGCCCTCGACGCTCATGACAACTGCAATCACACTTCGGGGACTGTGACCTCTGTTAACATCTGGAAAACTGATGCGTACATTGTCACCCACTTCACCATCTTTAAATTTTGTATTTGATGTTTTAAGCATCTTAGCACCTTGAGTTTGCAAGCCAGTATGAGCTGCTGATCTGTGTTCCATGATGTCTTGTTTGTTGTGACACAATCTATACAGAATCTGTTGGCCACATTATTGTCATGCAACTGGTCTGGGCGTTCCGCCACGGCAGTAGATGTGTTAGCTGAGGATGTCGTTGCATTTATGGGAACCTCCATTTCTTGTTCAATTTTCTCAAGATCTTCCTCAGTAACTATTTTATCGAGAGCCCATATATGGAAACTAACATGGATTTACATTTTTCTCTTTTGACAGCCATCTGCTATGTCTGTCTCATTGTCTGACGGCCCTTTTGATCCAGGTCGCCTTGCATATAGAATGCTATACAAACAAGAGCATAACAATACGTTACTCTCAATGAAAATGCACCCAGAATAATGAAAATGCGATCACAACTTAGTCTAGATAGAACATTGGCCAGGACATCCCGGCTAGTGCGCGCATTGGCCGGCCAATGTACAAAATACGCTGTCAAGTTTAAGCGCTTCGGACTTTGGCCAATACGTCCCGGCCAGTGCGCGCATTGGCCGGCCAATGTACGAAATACGATCTTAGTGCTTAGTTCTTCGGGGTTTGGCCAAGAGAGCCGGCCAATGCGCGGACTGGCCGGCCAATCCGCGCTTTGGCCGCACTTCGGGCTTTGACCGTAATATATATATATCTATATATATATATATATATATATATATATATATATATATATATATATATATATATATATATATATATATATATATATATATATACATTTCTGTGTGTATGCTTTTCAGCTAATGTCTGAGGTCAGCTGAATTTGGCTCCTGAGCCGTAAGCGGCCCTTTTTACTGAATGACTGTGGTTCTACTTGTTGAGATTGAAATAGCCTTACCAAGAAGAGGATTGAATTGTCAAAATTATTATTTTAGATTTCATTTATATGAGTATTTTTCAGACAGTAGTCTAAATATATGTCTCTAAAATATTTATTTTTAAATGTGCGAAGTAATTTTAATAAAATGTGATGAGTAGTCCGCTTCGAAAACAATCTCGTAACTTTGTTGCACTTAGTTAATAATACTAGGTTGTCTCCCTTATTTTCTAAATTAGAATTGTCTCCCTTTGTTCCCTCAAACCCGTTCCCCAAATGAAGTAGGTCAGCAGCTGACCTGTGGGCGGGTGCATTGTAGGTGACACCAGGTGCAATGTAATCCCTGTACTTAACCAATCCTAACCTCACCGGTAATTAATAAATATTTCACTTCAAAAGAAACGAATCTACGCTTTAAAAAGGGCAGAAGCTCTTTGATTTAGCAGATGTTGATATAAAGTGATGAGCCTCCCCCTGATTTGTGACAAAACGGACAGTCGCTCTCGTGTTGATCAGTTCAGGGTCAAGTTACCTACATGACATTTGATTGCACTTAGTTTTTTTCTACACCTACGTTTTCTCATTAATTACCCAACTGATAGCTGTCTAAATTACACAGGGGGGAGGGTGGGGGAGTTCATGGTCATATTCAGTATTGACGTCATGTGACTTCCGGTTAAAAAAAATGCGGAGCAGAGATTAAAAAAAAAATCAAAACAAACCAAAGCCATATCGATGTTGACGTTGGGGGTGTCGCCCAAATATAGATAATTATCTCTTGTTAATTAGCTCAGTGCAGCGCCCCTGCACAAAAAAACCTCCACACCACTGCGACGTCGAGTACCATAATTAAACATCCGGCATCCATTATCTTAGATTAATTAATTAATTAGGCCTATGTTTTAATAATAATAACAAAGGGGTCATCCGTAAACTACGGCCCGCTTTTAAAAAACGACTTTTGTTCCCCATCACCCCTCCTGCCCAGAGGCGTAGCGAGGGGGGTGCGGACCGCACCGGGTGACACCTTTAGGGGGTGACACCAAGGCAAAAAATAGCAAAATATATAGAAATTTGAGGGGATGGGTGCAAATTAAAAGTTTGAGGGGGGGGGTACAAATCGAAAATTGAAAGTTTGTCCCCGGGAAGGGTTGCTACACCTCTGGGTGGTGACACCATTAAGTGTCGCACCGGGTGACACCCGACCTCGCTACGCCACTGCTCCTGCCTCCTAGTATAGCATCACACCCCAGACTACTACACCCCTCAAGTTTTCGATTTTTTTTTTTTTTAAATTGAGATTTAGGGTCGGCGTGGTCGAGTCGGTAAAGCTCATGGTTGCTAAACCTAAAAATCTCGAGTTCGGACCCTCGGGCAGATGAGGCTCGTTAGCTGGGGACACCAACTCTAGGAGAGACAACTCCAAAATCAAACAACTGCTGTCTTGTAGTTTGTTCTTGGTTGGACAAAAGGCTATGGAAGCAAATCCTAAAAAGAAAAGCAGGCTGAAATCGGAGTCAATGGCCTCAATGGAGCATAACTAGTTGACATGTAGGGCCTCAGAGGCGTAGCGAGGGGGGTGGGGGGTGGACATATGTCCCCGGGCGCCGACCTTAGGGGGCGCCAAAATGCGTTGGAGAAACAAATCAAAAGTTTGACGGGGAGGGGGTGCAAATCGAAAGTCTGTCCCCGGGAAGGGTCGCTATGACTCTGTAGTCTGGCCTATACTTAATTGTGTTGGAGGGAATCCCTTGCAACACTAAAATTAAGAACGAAGTAGATTGAGATGTATTTCTAAAATATCGACTGAGCTCGATCAACATTGAGTATATAAATCTGAACAGTCCCTTCCCCCCCCCCCCCTCATAAAAATCCAAACCATCCCTCCCTCCTCGGTGTGTGACATTGCTCATGTAAGACCCCCTAAGTAAATAATATACCTTTCGATGTCGGTCTACGGGGAGCGGGGGGATGAAGTATTTCTACCTGACACAGTAGTTAGTGAAATAAAAGGCAGCTGGGTTATAGAACTGACCAAACTATCCCTTTAAAACTTTAAAAAAAAATTAAATGCCACTCTGACCTTGACCGCCATTTCTAAAAAAAGATGGCTACCCCCCCCCCCCCCTCTATAGTTTATAGCTGTAGCCTGGTAATGAATTCAGTTAAAAAATCATAGGGATCAAAGAACATCTTACGTACATATTTAAGCTAAGGATTGAACTCTTCAATCATTGAGATGTTCATTATGTACGGTACTGATTAAGGTATGCACTTCACAAAGTCAGTAACACAGCAGTGGTTAAGGGAATCATTATCTAAAGATAGTGGCAGAAATATAAGGGGAGATCAGAAAGTATGGGGTGAAGGATGGCACCACAACTTAAAGTTTTATTAACAGGTTTCATATCTTTTTTTTAAATTATACTTTAGAGATAGGTTTAATTTTCCTTTTTACTTATACTTTTGAAACAGGTTTATTTTTTTTATAATTATACTTATGAAACACTATAACTTAACAGTTTAACAGAATGAGAACTATCTCAAAAATATATTAAAAAAAAAAAAAAAGAAAAAATGAAACAATTTTGCCAAAGTATAATTTAAAAAAAAAAAAAACTCTTTCAAAAGTATAATCAAAAAAATAAAATAAAAGCCTGTCTCTAGTTTAATTATAGTGTTTGCTGATTTGTAATAAATAGTAACACACATTCATATCAAAATAACACACGCATTAAAACATGGATTGCTACTAATTCATGAAAAAAATTAACATATAGAAAATAAATAGAGACTATAAAACTTTATTGTTTCTTCCTATCCACAAAAGTAACAACTACATTCCTCTTTCCAACAAAAACTCTGCAACTAATGGCGTATGCATTCCTCGGATACGGATGAACCGAGCAACCTCATGGACCTGTGTCCTGATTCTTGTAATGCCAGTTTTATTTTGAAGATACTCTCTCAGCTGACATTCTAATGACTTTAAAAAAGGAAAATTAAAAAAGCATTTCAATTAACATGACTTGAATTCAAAAGTTTTAATAAACAGCTGTAAAATAAAAGGGTGTATCAGTTCTCTACTATTTTTAACTGCCCACTCAAGGGAAATAACCAATTTTTTGGTTTTCTCACTTGGAAATATTACATAATTAAATTTGATCAAGTAAATTTAACTTCTAAATTATCTTTCAATATCAAACATTTTTAATATTAGTTTAAATACAACATAATTAAAGTAATAATGGTCTGTAATTAATAGGATAACTTACCCATATATCACCTTCAATTTTTTTTATGATGACAGAATGATTAATTTTCCATGTTAATTGCACTCTTCGTTTTGATTTCTCTGGATAAACTGGCAACATATGGTTCTTGGTTCGACGCACTAAAAACGTTTGCTTGGATATCAGCTCATCTGTTGACCAGAAAATTTAGAATTAGAATTTAGCATTTGGAAATACAAAGAACAGCATGAATGTATATGTTTAAAATTACTTTGGAATAATTCATTCCTTAAAGTTTTTAAAAAAATACAATTAAAAATGTAAGCATTAAGTTTGTTTTGTTGTAGTTGTGATTAGAAAATTATATATTTAAAGACAATTAGAAAACCACAGCAACAAACATTAACCAGATTTTGTTTTAGATAGTTTATTCAATCTATTATAGATAATGTAAAGCTTATTTGTTTTAGTAAGCACTAAGGGTCATCCAAATATATTAATTTTAGACAATGCCCCCCACATACACACTTTTTTATCAGCCAGGATTGGGTTTAGGAATTGGGTTAGGTTTAAGATTAGGGATATGGCTATGGTTAGGGAGTGACCTAATCAAATGGGTAATATCCTGACCCAAGACCACCTTGGCTTCATGATCCCTATTTATGTTTCTTTCATCACATTCATTACCTCTCCCCCTTCCTGGGAAGCATAAGTTCTTGTTTCTGACCAAATGACCCATAGGGCAGATATAAATAGAGCTCATCAGTTTCTTGACCACAGTATTTGATGTATGGTGTGATCAGCACTATGTTCAACATTCTTTACTCTCCCTAACTTGAGTCAGGTACCTATTAGAGCTAGGTGGACCTACAGACTTAAGTCTGAACTCCAAACTTTCAGGTTAGCAGTTGAAATCTCTACCACCTGGGCATACAGTCTCAACCGATTCAGGGTGATTGCAATGAATGGATGAAATTCTGTACTGAACTGTCATTACCACAGTAAGTACACAATCTTATCTGTTTCACATGATTCAGGATGATTGTAATGAATGGATGAAATTCTGTACTGAACTGTCATTACCACAGTAAGTACACAATCTTATCTGTTTCACCCAATTCAGGGTGATTGTAATGAATGGATGAAATTCTGTACTGAACTGTCATTACCACAGTAAGTACACAATCTTATCAGTTTCACCCAATTCAGGGTGATTGTAATGAATGGATGAAATTCTGTACTAAACTGTACATTACCACAATAAGTACACAACATTATCTGATTCGTAGAGATATTAATGCTTGATCTTTTACATGCGAGGTTAGAGTTAAGTTTGTACCATTGGGTGGGACCCAGCCAGAGGCTGTGGGATACATTTCATGCTGAGGTGCCTCAGGGACAACAGCTTTGGGAAGAAGCGGCTCAACATATTTAAACTCATCGTACGACACTTCAAAATTTTCAATGTATTCTGGTTTCTCTCTTGGTGTATATTTTGCTTTTTGCAAATGTGTTAATGATGAAAGGAATCGAGCAGTCTGCAAAAAAAAAAAAAAAGTAAATTTTTTTAAATCATGTGGAAATCATTAACAGTATTTGTTTAATTGATAATTATAGTTTAATCAATGCCAGATTTATTTAAACTAGATATAGATCTAACTCAAAATAAATTGCAACATTTAGATCTAAAAACTAAATAAGAAGTTGCTCGCAGATTTTATAATGCAAGTTATCTTCCCTTTTCCCCCTTCTTGACCATACATCTACCTACACAGACTACAGTAATTTACACTCAGTAACAGTCAACATTGTTAACAGAGTTTCTTCGAGGCATCTCTTCGGCCCCCCGAAATTTTTTTCACCCCCCCCCCCCCCCCGAACGAAATGAAATTTATATAATTTATATAGAAAATATATACTTTTAACAGTGTCCGCCCCCCCGAAGATCTAAAAACTAAATAAGAAGTTGCTCGCAGATTTTATAATGCAAGTTATCTTCCCTTTTCCCCCTTCTTGACCATACATCTACCTACACAGACTACAGTAATTTACACTCAGTAACAGTCAACATTGTTAACAGAGTTTCTTCGAGGCATCTCTTCGGCCCCCCGAAATTTTTTTTACCCCCCCCCCCGAACGAAATGAAATTTATATAATTTATATAGAAAATATATACTTTTAACAGTGTCCGCCCCCCCGAAGAAAGTGTACCGCCCCCCCCCCCCCCCGAAAAAATTTCAAGTGCCCCCCCCCCCCCAAATATAGGCCTAATAGATAATTAAATAATAAACCAAAAGCAATGGCTTACTTAATAAAGTACTATGGGCCAGACATTAACTTTAAACAGTAGTGTTTGAGAGCAAGATTTACTATATAAGCAGTAGCCGTCTGTAAATTAGAGTGATTTCTCCTGAATCTCTAACTATAATTTAACCACAAAAATGTAAACAAGATGGCTGCTAAAGTAAGCGAGATTGGTTGCATCTGCTGAAAACATCCCTAATCTTTATTTATTAGCCTACTGAAAACTTTTAATAAATTTGTTTAAAAATAGGTACATATCTCATTTTTGGGGAGAATTTTTATACCAGTGTCCGATAATAGAATCTTCTTTAACTTTTTAATTGGCTATGCACCAGAGTTCCTCACTAGTGATGAACCCAATAGCGGTCACGTTGTTTTTAAAAAATAATAATTAATTGGTTGTGATATGAACGCCGGTATTATAAAAAAAAAGCTCACAATATTTGATTTCTTTTTTCATAGAAGGATACAAATAATAATACTAAATGCTTTTCTGGCATATATAGCCCAGCCAACAATGGTTTGTTTTTATAACGCGAAAAATGAAAATCCCACCATTTTGCTCGTGGAAAACATTTTAAACAGTAATTTTAAGAAGGTCACTGGAACTAAGACAAAAAAATCATCGAAAGCCATGCATCCAGTGTGTACGTCATATTGTTAGCAAGTAATACTACTATTATTGGACATTGGTATCTAATATCATCCCATTTTTGTAACTTTTAAAACACAAATCCATCTAAAAATGTGAAATATTTACTAAAAGTTAAAGTTAATGAGACAACTTTCTGGCACATTACTAGTATTATTACAAGATCTAGATTCTAGCATCTGCCGATATTATTAAACTTTAATGGAGGCAAACGAGTTGACGAGAATCCTTCCATCATATTGTTGACATGAATCAAAAACGTGCTTTTTTAGATTTTGCAATCAAAACGACCATAAAAATAATAAAAACTAAAAACGTAAGCCTAAAAATAAATCAGATATTTAATATTTTTAGAATCCGTGTTATAAAAGTTGCAAATCCAGAGAACTGGAAAATAATTTATTGAGTTCAAGGCTACATTTCTATTTATTTTCATCAAGCCTAAGTTATAACCTGACGTTTCACAAACATTGATTGAATGTACAGTACAGGAACTCTGTGATGAATTTATGACAGACCCCACATCATAGTCTTTTGTTTACAAAACTTTGCAGATAGTTTTTAAATAACAATGCAAATTTAAATCCCATGACCTAGTTTTCCCTTTTTTTTTGCTTACAAATATCAAATAGAAGAATTTCATTGTTTATGTTGCCATTAGGCTACACGTGAAAACCAAATCGTTTTTGTTCTTTTTTATTTTTTTAGTTACCGAAAATATCAAATTAAAACATCAAATGACAAATAGGCCTACATCCAATCTTTAATAAATTCAGAAAAAACCAAACAGACAGGATTTTATAACCATATTAAATATTAATTTTAACTTCGCCGTGTAGGGCGGGCCTATGATTTTTAAAATATTTAATGGGCCTCTTGAATACCCATGGGACTTGGACTTGGTCGCCACCATTTAACAGTCTCTTAGCCCTTAGGCCTACTGTTAACTACTACTAGATCTAGATCTACTAGAATAGATTTAACTTAACTAGATTAGAATCTAGATTTTAGATTCTAGAAATCATTTCAAAATCTTTAATCTAGTCTAGACTAGGTCTAGATATCTAGATCTAGATTAGTAGTAAGTAGAGTTAAATTAAAGTTAAGTAGGCTAGATTCAACAAATTTGAAAAGACAAAAAAGTCGGTAATCTATCGTTTTGGGTACGTAAAATCGCCCGCGGCTATTAATGTACGAAAACGTTACCTCATTGTTAAAGCTGTAATAGAAGTATATTGTGATTTGTTTGTGTCAAATATTATAGATAAATGAATAATAAACCTAAATCTATGGCTAAATATATCAATATAGGCCGGAAATTAACTTTAAACAGCAGTGTCTGCAAGTAAGATTTGCTATATAAACAGCAGCCATTTGTAAAATAGAGTGACTTCCGCCTGAATCTCGCTATAAGTCTATAAAAATAAAATTTTAACAAGATGGCTGCTATAGTAAATGAGCATGGTTGCATCTGTTGGAAACATCGCTGGTGTTCATTTATTACTGAAAAGTTTTAATTCAATTGTTTTAAAACAGGTACATAAATGAAACAAGGAAACATTTTTATATTTTTCAAAACATAAATCCTCCTTAAAATGCGAAATAATTATTAAAATGTAAGGAGTCACCTGTTTTTCACATTACTAGTCGCGGGCGATTTTACGTACCTAAAACGATAGATTACCAAAAAGTCATTGCTCATGAGTCCATGACATTTGACATGTTTTAATCATAAGTGTAGGCCGATAGTATTATGTAACACTAAGACGAAAGTAAGCATTGTAGTTTTTTACCGTTAATTTGAACACAGTGTTTTCTTGGCAAGTTGTTAACCGTGAAAACACTGGTAAAACATTTTTTGTACATTTTGTGCAGGTGCGAAGGATAAATGTTCCATAGGCAGCCATTTTGAAAACAAAAATCACATCCTCAACTTAAAATACAAAAGAGCTAGGCCCTATTTTTTAATTTTTTTTTTCGCTTTCATTATAAAAATATAGATCTAGATCTAGAGATTTTTAGATCTAAGTCAAACTAGCCATTTACACTTTACAGGGATCCGGACAAAATGCCGAAATAGACAAAAGGCCGGCACGGACAAAAGGCAGACAGGAAATAAGATCGACATCTAAAAGGCCGCCTGTACAAAAGACCGACTGGAAATAAGACAACTAAAAGGCAGACATCCAAAAGGCCGACAAGTCTGACAAGACAAAATGCCGACAAGTTTTATAAAGCAACAAACTACAATTACAGATATGTTTAATTTTTTTATTAAAAACCAGTTACCTAATGATAAAGTTAAAGTACAACATAGAACAAAATGGGGTCTAGTATGATAAATTGTATGCTATGGCACGTAGAAGTTTAAGTCTATTTCTGTTTTCACGTTCTACAATGACATTCGCTATCCTGCCACTTTCTGTAAATGGTTTCTTTTCCTTCTTTTTATGGCTCACCAAGCAAATATAGCATCCATCCTAACTTCCACTCGTCTTTGTTCTTGACACACTTGTATCACTATCACAGCTGAATCAATCAATACAACGAATGTTGTATACAATTTGTTTTACGCAATCCGCAATGGAAGAAACTGAAATACAATTCAATTTTTTTCGCTATAGTAACATGCAGTATAGCGAGGGAGGGGGTGACACCATTTAGGGGGGTGACACCAAGGCAAAAAATAGCAAAATATATATAGAAAAACTTGAGGGGGGTGCAAATCGAAAGTTTGAGAGGGGGGGGGGGGTGCAAATCGAAAATTTGTCCCCGGGAAGGGTCGCTACGCCTTTTTGGGGGGGTGACACCATTAAGTGTCGCACCGGGTGACACCGACCTCGCTACGCCACTGGTAACATGTAGTCCGGTCAAGGCACGTGATCGATCAACTTCATTCGTTGTTTTATTTTTTATTTTTTATTTCTTTGCGAAATATGGTGGTAACGCCACCTATCTGTTTATCCTTTGTTATTTCGACCCGTCATCCCTAGTCGCATGGACCCCATTGTTCACCTGATAATGATAGCAACTAGCATTGTCTATTGGCGTTCCGCCTTATTGCATGTGGCGATGATGCCAGCAGCTTTGGACTTCGTTCTCTGATGGCTGTCTCACTTCGTTGACATAGAAGGAGCGATCAGAGTTTCTTCCAGGCATCCCATCGGGGGGGGGGGGGGGCGCTCCCTCACACCGAAGAAGTCTACCGCCACCCCCGGAACGAAATAAAATTTATATCGAAAATATATACTTTTACCAGTGTCCGCCCCCCCCCCCCCGTAAAATATCAGTTACCCCCCCCCCCCCCCCCGGAGAAAAAAGTCTGGTAGAAACACTGGGAGCGATGAAAACAGTAATGGCCGGATTTCGCAATATTTAGGTGTTGATCCTGAGTGTTTAAGACACTTCCGTAATCTCCAGTCGCTTTGACCCGATGGTTCACCTTATAAGTATAAGTATAGTAACTAGCATCGTGTCTTTTTTTTTTAAATTGCCTCCTTACTACATGCCTTATTTCGATTATTGTCTAAATAGGAGCTATGTAAAAACACATATTTTGCGATATTAGTATTTTAAAGTTTGTCTGCCTTATCGTTTGTCGGCCTTATGGTTTGTCGACCTTATGGTCAGTCGGCCTTTTGGCTATCTGCCTTTTGGATGTCGGCCTTTTGTCCGTGTCGGCCTTTTGTCTAGTCGGCCTTTTGGATGTCGGCCTTTAGTCGTGAATTATAGGCTTATATATTTTACTGTTATACTTTTTTGGAGAAAATAATTTCCTAAATAGTTATTGGCCAAAACGCTATGAGCTGTACTACACGTTGAACGATATTACGGTTGATATTAATTAAATCAAATTAATAATAAATATTCTGATCTTAATTATTCTTAATGCACATAGCTATGGGCGGTTCTCATACAACTCAAAATACACACATGAATATCAGCATATTTTGATATTTTGGCGCATATATACAGTATATATATATATATATATATATATATATATATATATATATATATATATATATATATATATATATATATATATATATATATATATATATATATATATATATATATATATATATATAGGCCTATATATATATATATATATATATATATATATATATATATATATATATATATATATATATATAGGCCTATATATATATATATATATATATATATATATATATATAGTGATTGTGTGCTTCCTCTGTAAGGTACTGGTCTTGTATAATATCGTCCGTGCCCTCCTTTTTACAAGCTTTTATTTAGTTCGCAAACGTCTGTTGGTTTGCTGGTTTGTTAGTGAGTTTGAAGCAAATCTTGTTACTTAATTTTGACCCATTTCTAATGCAACGATTTCGTTCAAACTTTCCAGATTCATGTCAGTGGCACACACAATATAATACAACAAAAACGCTTTTTTATTTGTGAACAAATAATTTTTTTTAGTTACAAAAATTTTCAGTGAAAATGAAATAATTTTAGGAACGAAAACTTTGAATTTTAAATATTGGATTTTTAAAAAAAATCTTAACACCCGAGGAGGTAAACTCCTTATCTGCAGTGACGGGCGGGTACACCCTCTCTTTTTCCTCCCCCAGTCTTTGTTGTCTCTTCAAGCTTTCGCGCGTCCGTCCAAAAATTAATCACCTGTCAGTTATTTGTAAAGGCACTAAGGAAAATTGAACTCAAGCAGCAGACCGCCATCTACATATGCTTGCATTTCTTTTTTAAGCCTGTCCACGTTATTGACCAATCGCGGACAGATTTTTCTTCTGTCCACAAAGTTGAAGCTGACATTTTTTAAGCTTCCGTGACCTTTCAGCATCTGGCAGAACCGTTCTAAAAAGCTCACCTGTAAAAAAAAAAAGGACAAATAAGTGAATTATCAGAGGGATCATAACTATTTTAATCTTCACGTATGCCAGGGGTCGGCAACTTTTTGAAGCGGAAGGTCCAAAAGTTACAATTTTCAAAATTTCCCTGGTTTTAAAGAATCACTAACATTTTTTTTTATTTCAAATATTTTTTTTTATTAAGATTATTAGTATTTGTTCAAGGAGCTGGAGAGCCGAATCTTGATATCAAAAGAGCCGCATGCGGCTCGCGAGCCGCAGGTTGCCGACCCCTGACGTAGGCCGATACATTGTCCCATCAAAGATGTTGTATTTTTCTGATGGCAACGCGGAAATGCCCTAACCACGAATCATTACATTGTCAATAGATCTATCACTAATTCAACTGTGATCAGGGGCGGAATAATGGGGGAGGGGGGGGGGTGTCAGGCCGTTTAGAAGATGTCAACAGAGAGAAAGCGAAACGGTATACAGTGGATACTGTGGAGCCAGCTGGATGACCTGGACTTTGCTGACGACCTGGCCCTTCTTTCTCACACACAACAGTAAATACAAGATAAAACCAACATGGTTGCTAATTTTTCTACATGCCTGGGCCTGAACATCCACAGAGGGAAAAGTAAAGTTCTCAAAGTCAATGCATCAAATAGCACCCCTGGAACAGTTGGCAGAAGCTCTAGAAGAAGTGGATAGATTCACCTACCTTGGAAGTATTGTTGATAAGCAGGATGGGACAGAAGCAGACATAAAAACAAGGACGGGGCAAGGCAAGAGCAGTCTTCAACCAACTAAAAAATGTTTGGGGTTCTGGAGATTTAACCCTTAGAATAAAAATCCGGATCTTCAACACACTAGTAAAACTTATTTATTCTATGGAGCTGAATCATGGAGAATAACTGCTATAAATAAGAAGAAAATACAATCATTTATAAGCTCATGCCTCAGAAATATCCGCGAATTCGCTGGCCTAAAACCATCAGAAATGATGTTCTATTTCAACGGACAAATCAACTGCCAGTTGAGAAAATGGAGATGGATTGGCCACACACTCAGGAAGCATGTATCAAGCATAATAAGACAGGCCCTCAACTGGAATACACAGGGCAGGAGGAGGAGAGGCAGACCAAGAAAGACCTGAAGACGTGACCTGGAAGAAGACTTATGTGCCAGGAGGGACGACAGGCAAACCTAATCTAACCAAAATGAATTAATTGAACATTTATACTCAATTAATATTAATAAATGACGTCATTCGGGGGGGGGGGGGGGAGGGGTTAGAGTCAGGCCTTTTGTGAATCGTCAAAAAAACTTGACGTCATTTATGATATTGGTACATCAAGTCTGTCTTTTATGCATTGCATATTGCAATGCAAATTTGGGAAGTTTTTTGTTTGTGTACACTCCCTCAAATGTTTCTGCCATAGGCGTAAAATGATTGTGTTTAAATATTGGAGTGGCGGTTCCCACTGAAATGTGTCGTTGAGCGCACCGAGAGCAGTGTTACGTACAGACTATTTTAT